GTTCAATTTCCCTCGCTTCCTGTCGGCGTTCGATAAGATGAGCCCCGAAGCTCAGAAGAACACCGGTCGCCTGGTGCGGGGCATCGATGCCAACACGCAGCGATTGCTGGCCGCCGAGATGAACGACGATGCGAGTTATCGTCGGCTGCGAGCGTTGAAGATTATTGAAGTGATGGACAATCACTTGGACATGGAAGCGGACTTGATCAAAGCCTTAGGGCATGAAGATCATTTCCTGCGAGCCGAGGCGGCCAAGCTGCTTTCGCGCTGTCCTTCTTCGCGATCGGTCACGGCACTGCGTGAAGCGATGCTTGATCGAAACGTTCGCGTGCGCGAGAACGCCGAGTCGAGTTTGCGACGGATCGCGGGAACCAAGTCCCTTCCGCCAGCGATCGACAAGTCGGTCGCCAGCGCTCAGGTCCCCACGTAGGAGCAACGAACGATGGCGACTGCTTGGGACATTCTGATTTTCGCCGACCAGCAAATGGTCGACTTCCGAGCGATGGGAGAGCACTTCCGTGCCGACAACGCCCACATCAACATCCCACACGTGATCATCCTGATCGTGGCTGTGCTGTTGATTGCGACGCTGATCTGGGCTCTTTCGCGATGGCAAGAAAACACGGCCGCTTGGAATCTTGATAACCCGCAGCGGTTGTTTACTGATCTTTGTAAGAAGCATGAGTTGTCTTCGCACGACTCTATGCTGCTGAAGAAGATCGGCCGCGAGCTACAGTTGACGCATCCCGCGAGCTTGTTTGTTGACCCAAGTTTGTTGGTTTCGGCGATGCAGCTAGAGAAGTTCCAAGAGCTGCATGATGAACTGACCCATTTGGGCGAAGAGTTCTTTGGCTTCCATCTGTGGAAACAGGCCATCGCGGCCGACAGCCTGGTGCATAAAGAAGCCACGACCGCCTAGTCGGCCTTTGGCTCGATCTTTACGGCAGTCCCATAGGCTAAGACTTCCGTCGATCCCTGGGTGAACTCCGTCGCGTCGTAACGCACTCCGATGATCGCATCGGCGTTAAGCTGGCGAGCATGCTCAAGCAGCAAGTCATACGCATGCTGGCGAGCTTCTTCACACACAGCGGCATACTCGGGAATGTTGCCACCCCCGATCGATCGGATGCCGCCGATGAACCCGCGAGCGATGCTAGTTGAGCGAACGACGATGCCGCGAACCAATCCGAGGTACTCAACAACTCGATGCCCTTCGACATCGTTGCCTGTGGTGACGATCATGACATGGTCTCTTCAAGTGTGCGAGAAATGTACCCCAAGTCTGCGCGAAGTTTGCGCGTAAAAAAAGCCGAGAGCAAAAACTCTCGGCTTTGGATTGTCGTGATGACGCCAGCCATCGGTGGATCGGCAACCGCTTAGAAAGCACTGTTGCCGGACGGACGTCGCTTCTGGAAGCCTGCTTTTTCCTTTTCGGCTTGAGCTTCAAGCTCTTCCAGCTTCGAGGCAGCGTTCAAGCGAACCAGTTCTTCCGCACCGACATAGCCAGCCCAGTCGATGAACTGGTCGACACGAATCGGCTGAATACCATTGGCCCGGGCCGCTTCGTTCATCTGCGAGTAAGCAGCGAGGCCACCTTCGGAGGTCTTTTCCGTTGGACGTTCGCCCAAGATCAAGTAGCGAATATCTGGAGTCAGAGCACCCTTGATCGAGCCAGTTTCGTCGACGTAAGCAGCCACCTGACCGCCGGCCGTTTCGATCAGCTGACGCAGGTCTTCGGTGTCGTCTTTGTCGTCGCCGTCGATGTCGATGAAACCGACGATAGCGAACTTCTCAGGACGACCAGGGGTCCAGATCGGGGTGAAGATGGTATCGCCAGGCATCACAGGATTGGTGCTGTCGAAGTTGGTGATACGAGCTTCGGCCTGATGACCGTCGTGAATCTTGGTAACTTCGATCGAAGCTTTCGCTTGAGCGTCCGCGAGGTTTTCCTGGCCGACAGGATAAACGCTGAACGTCATTTGTGGGCGAAGCATGTCTTGCGAACCGAGGTTAATCCAGACGGTTTTTTCACGCTGGTTCGACCAAACCACTTTACCATCAGGACGATCGGTGATCTTCGGTTGAAGGTCTTGGGTGACTTTCTTCAGGCCTTCGACGAGCTTCTGCAGGTCATCGTTGTCCTTTTCCATCACCTTCTTTTCTTGGGTGAACTGGGCGGTGACCTTAGCCACTTGACCTTCGATGGCTTGCTTCGAGGCGAGGACTTTCTTCTGGTCATCCTGCAGCGACTGGCGAGCCGATTGGTATTCTGCGGTCAGCTTACGCAAATTGGCGTCGGCAGCGTCTTTTTCGGCTTTGGCCTTGGCGACGGCCGAATCGGCGGTAGAACGGATCGAATCGCGTTCGGCTTGCAAAGCGGTGATTTGCTCGCGTGCCGAGGAAAGCTGCTGTTCGAGAGTCGAGTACTTGTTGCGAAGCTCGACAGGGATCTTGCGATAGTTCAAAGCTTGAACGTCGGCTGGCGTGCCATTTTCATCCGCGACAAACGCGGCTACGTCGCTGGTGAACTGGGTTTCGATCTCGTCCATGGCCGTTTCTTCGGTGTGCCCGATGATGACCTTCAAACGGTTCAAATCCCCTTGGATCTGACGCAGTTGCGACGAGTATTGCTGCGATTGCGACTTGGCTTCGTCGGCTTCCGTTTGGGCTTTCAGGTTCGCGTTATAAAACA